AAAAAAAGACAAGAGGAATGTGAGACACGGCAGTGCAGCTGCATGCTGCAGTGTAAGTCTGGAGGATCCGTCGGCTGCCATCGGGAGCTGGTCGTTCACCATCACGTGGCGCGGTAGGCCTGCAACGGGGGCTGGCGCTGAAGGGACATCTGCGGGCCAGCTGGGGGTTGGCTGGGTGCGGCACGGCACCATCGCGAAATAGGCGGACGCAGTAGAGGCCCGCATCGTTGGGCTCCTTGGTGACAAAACAATCGCGGATGAGCTGCGGCCGCGAGGCCGCGATGGCGAGAGCCGACATGAGGTAGGAGGTCCCGAGCGCGCCTTGGACTATGTCCGACGTCTCGACCGGGTCGGTCTCGCCGCCGCCATCTGCAAAGACTGAGATCGACGAGAAGACTTGCGCCGCGCTCTCCCAGCGTGCGCCAAACTTGGAGGGAGGAAGCGAGGGGTCGGCGGCCGGGAAAACGTAGTCATCCCACGGCTCTCCCGCCACGGCTTGCTTAACGAGCGGCTGCACGAGCAACTCCCACGGATCCCCAGCGCCCACGCCCCGCAGCTGAATGTCTGCTTTGCGTGCGCGCTGCGCGTCTGCCTGCTCCCGGCCTCGTCGCGCCGCCTTCTCCTCACGCCGCCGCTTCTCGGCAAGGGCGCGGCGCGCCTTACCGGCGTTGCGCGCCTCCGCCTCCCGGCTGGGGCCGAGGGCCGCCTCGCCCTGTGCGAGGGAAGCGGCCGCCTCTGTCTGACGAGTGCTGAGCGTGCTCTCGTACTCGGTCATCTTTGCCAGCTCCTGCTGTAGGCGCGCCTCGTCCGCAGCCAAGGAGGCGCGGACCCGCTTGACCAGCGCATCCTGTCGTGCGCCTTCCTTCTCGTCCTCTGCAGCCCGTGCGGCCTTGAGCTGTCGGAAGTGCTCAATGCGTGCAGTGAGACGCGCCTCATCGGACTGCTCAGTTGCGCCGGCAACCGGATCGACGCTCGCAAGGGGACGCGCCGCTGCCTCCCGTCGCACTGCATCCAGCTCCGCCGCCTCGGCCATCTCGCTCTGCGCGGCCACGTCCTCCACGTCAACAGGTGCAGCTGGGGCCTCGGGCGGAGGCGCACAGCCTGCCCCACGAAGCGCCTCGCAAATGTCCTTGAGCGTGCTCGCAGACACCCGCGCCCGTCCTACTGCGTCCCGTAGGTGACGCCGCAGCTCGCGGGTCCGTCCGCTGCCGGTTGTAATCGACTGCTCGAGCCGCCACCTCCTTGCATCCGCCGCCTTGCTTGCGCATGCGCGCATCTCTGCCGCTAGCGACTCCTCCTCCGCGTGAAGGTCGGCTAGACGCCTTCGTCGCTCGCGCTCCTCTCGAAAGGGGGCCGCAGCAGCCTCGAGCACGGCGCGCTCGTCATCGCTGAGAGTCGCGAGCTCGGCGTTGAGAGCTGCAGCGCCAATCACGCCGACCGCGCCCGAATTTGCGAAGAGGAGCAGATCCCGCCGCTCGGCCTCGTCGGCTGCGTCGGCCGCCTGCAGCAATTCGGCCACTAGACGCACCTCGCAGGCGACGCGCTCACGGTGAGCCTCGATGAGGACACCCTCCGCCGCAATCACCTCAGCCCAGCCTGTCGCCGCGTGGGTCTCGTCCACGTCTTGCTCCCCTTCCTGCTCCTTGCGAGCACGCGCCGCAACAGCGCGCTGGCCAAGCATACCATAGTGCAGCTCAGCCTCCCGCAGCCGATCACCTGCCGCTGCCTCACGGCTCCGGAGGTACTCTTCCGACACAGGCGCCAGCTCCTTTGACCCCATCGCCGCCTTTTCTCCGCTCTCGTCGATGACGAGATAGCCGGTGGAAGCACGCACCCGCGCAACGCCCGCCAGCTCGCGCGAGCCGGCGACACTTGCCGCGGCAGCCACCTTGCGCGCCAGCGTGACGTCGTCATCCGTAAGAAGCCGGCGGACAGCTCCGAGACGGAGCGCGGCGTGCGAAGCCGCCGTCGCAGCAGCGTCGAGCAGCGCCAGCCCAACCGCCCACGCAACAGCGACGCCAACGGCGCGGTTTTCCACCAACCCGACCGTCGCACAGGTTGCCCAGAGGAGAACCAGAGCAGCCGCTATCAGCAAGTGCGTGGCGGGCTCGCTGGCAGGCTTGACGGCACCGCCCGAGAGCGCCACGGCCGACGGCAACGGTAGCCACCAGGTCTCAACGCACCAGTGGCGGTAGAGCTCGCCGCGCTGCTTCCGGAGCGCAGCGTGCGCGGCGGCGGCGAGTGCAGCCGCGGGCATCAGTGTCGCGAGAGACCATCCGGCAAAACCAGTCATGGGGTCGGCCAGCATGGCGACGAGGAGACCTATCAAAAGATTGCGAGATGCCTCTAGCCGTGGTCCAGGGAGAGCGCTCTGGGTCGACGGCGAGTGGACCCATGGACGCCGCAACTCCAAGGGCACCACCGAGCACGAGACGTGAAGCCAGGCCGAGCTTGCCAAGGTTCGTCACCTCTTGGCGCGCGTATGCAGTTGCGAGAGCGGTGGCCGCCGCGACCGCCACCAGGGTGGAGGAAAGGGCGAATCGCAATTCCACGGGTGGTTGGGTCATTCGGATTCGGTCATCTGGCTTCCTGTTCTGGTTTTGCGACTTGGATCCAATCGAATACTTTTTTTGGCGCGGGCAGTGTAACGACCTGCAAGAACATCCATTGCCCGCCCCCGCCCTCGCCTCCGCCTCCGTCTCCTCCGCCCCCCTCCCCGCCCCCGCGTATGCATATATGAAGCGTACCGACACCATCAACGCTGGCGACGCCCCACGATGGTGCCTTCAAAAGAAGCGAGCGGTACCACGAGCTAGCCAAGATGATGAAGACCAAGGTTGCGTGGTGAGGCCGCACCTAAAGACGTTCGGACCGTCAGCGGAGAAGTGGGACAGCAGCGGCCGGTCATTCGTTGCGGAAAAAGTGAAGCCGAGCAGGTTCCAGCCATCAGAGGTCGCCTTACCGAGGGACAGGAGCCAGCTCGAGCCGCGCGTCTACAGTCACTCGCCCAAGCCCGAGCCGGCAGAGATTAGGCCGAGGGGGAAGCGGATTTTGCCGCGGCATCAAGTTTCGGCGAAGACGTTGAGCTTTGAGGAGGCCATGGGGCGGCACCGTCATGTCTACGACGCATCCGGCTGCGACGTCCGCCAACAGCGGAGCGTGTCTTATACCCTCGAGAATTCGATGGCACACAAGGGCGCGGCAGACGTGCGCAGTCTCGAGAGCTGCGCAGGCTTGCCCGGCTACTGCGTCCAACCTGCCGAGTACTCGAGCTTTCTCGGCACGCAATACTTTGCTCTAGACGGTGTCGTGGCACGACCCAAAATGCGACCTTCGAGGGGTGAACGGCAGCTAAGAGAGCTCCAAGCCGCAGGCGATCGCGCCGCGAAATTTGGAAGCCGGTCCAAGCCCTTCGCTGAGAAGCGCGAGGACGAGATTAGAGCCGCCGAGGTCGCTTCCGTTGCGGTCTTGCCATATTCGTCGGAGGAGGAGAGCTGAGGTGTCTTCTTGTGTTAGGATCATTATCGTCTCTTTTCACATTCGCATCACACAACTGAGAAGATTACAAACGGGTATGAACCACCGAGTCGGCTTGGGGTGAGACGCCAGGGACGCGAACGGATTGCTCATCCTCATGAGCAGGAGTGTGCCTGGACTGGCGGCCCTTCGCTTGCCGTGCCTTGTCCAGCAACGCGGCCCTCCCCTCATCACCGAGAGCGGCAGCCATGCTGCTGAGCACCGATGCTGGGTCGGTGAGCAGCGTTGCGGGCGACCCCTGCTCGAGCAGGCGACCGCCGCCAAGCACGAGGAGGGTGTCGTAGTCGGCGACGGTCAGGAGGCGGTGCGCGATGGTGATCACCGTCTTCGCCGCATACTCCTCACGGAGCAGCGCCTGCATCGCCGCGTCAGAGTTCTCGTCGAGGTTGCTCGTGGCCTCGTCGAGCACGAGGATCGACGTCTCCTCGAGCATCGCGCGCGCAAAGCAGAGGAGCTGCCGCTCGCCCGAGGAGAGGTTCGAGCCATTCTTGGAGACGTGCGTGCCGAGGAGGTCGGCGGGGAGCCGAGCGCGCACCAACGCCGACGCCAGCTCCTCGTCACTCTTTGTTCCAAAGGGGCAGAGGTTGTGCGCGACGGTGCCCTGGTGTAGCACCGGATCCTGCGAGGCGGCGGCGAGCTCGCGCCAAAGCTCGCGGGAGGGGCCGCGCACGCGGGGGGCATCAGCGCCTGAGGAATGATGGACATTGTGCGGCGGAGCGCACGCAAGCCGAGCGAGGCCGTCTCGCGCCCGTCGATGAGGATGCTGCCCGCAGCCGGCTCGAGCAGTCGGAAGAGAGCGAGGACAAGCGTGCTCTTGCCAGCGCCTAAAGAGCGCCAAACGATGCGAGTCACCATCGGTGCGGTGCTAGCGATCAGGCCAGTAGGTGGCGTGCCCGTTCGGCCGACCACCCCGGCCTTCTGCCGGGGGGCGATGGTGGCCGAGAAGTCCGCCAGCGCAAGCGGCAGCCCGGGCCGGTACCGCATGCAGAGGCTCTGAAAGACCACCTCGCCCGCTTTTGGAAAGTCGGCCTGCGGCGGGTCGGACGGCAATTCGTGCGGCGGCTCCTGCGGCAGCTCCAGGTACTCCAGAAGCCGCTCGAGCGCCGCCATGGACGTGCGCAGCTGGACAAACCTATGATCAGCCGAGGGAGGTGTAAAGAGACGCACCGTGGCAGGCCCACGCGCGGGAGTCGGCGAGGCACATCTCGGAGATGATGTTGATGAAGTAGGGGGCGACGACTGCGTACGTGAGCGCGAGGCCGCCCTCCGCTACCCCAAACGAGGCGCGATTCCCGATGATGAAGAAGAATGTGGCGACGCCAAAGACAAAGGCGAGGGAGCCACCCACGTGCGCGGACCAGGACTGCATCGCCCGTGAGAGGTAGGAGAAGCGAGCCCACGCGCCAATCGCCGCAGACTGGCGGGCGGCGAAGAAGGAGCCGAGGCGCATCGCCCGCACGAGCGGCGTCCCGACCTTGATTTCGGCGATGTTGGACATGATTGGCGAGACAGCGTTGTTGGCGATGCGGCGCACCTCGCGTATCGAGCGGTCTGCGACCAGAGTGGCGAAGCAAAAGACGGCGAAGACGCCGGCGGCGACGACAGCGAGGACCCAAGTCGTGGAGGCAATCAGCCCGACCATCGTGGCCGCCTGGAAGAACATATGCATCAGGTTGTCCACGTCCATGCTCAGCTTGATGTCGACCGTGTTCAGGTCCGAGGTGAAGCGCGAGAGGACGCGTCCAGAGGGCGTGCTGTCGTACCAGCCGAGCGGCGCGTAGATGACGCGGCGGAGCGTGCTGCGGTGCATCGCCGCCGAGGCGCGCACCGAAATGACGGTGAAGAAGATGGACGAGCCGATGATCAGCGCGATGAAGCCGAGGCACAAGCCTGAGTAGACGCCCGCCCGGCTCGCTGTCGGTAACCCGGCAGCCGGCCCCGCGTCGCCGATCCACCACCGCACGAGCCACAAGTCGGCGAGCAGGAAGGTGCTGTAGGTGAGCACGAGCAGCGCAAAGTAGGACCAGACGGACGCGGTCCCGAGCGCGCGGAGATAGGTGGTGTAGATGCCAGAGGAGAAGGAACCCGTCTGCCGTCTCTCGGCCGTGGTGAGCCGCGAGACGCCGCCCGGCGGCGTCGCAGAAGCCTTCGCGCCGGCCGCAGACGCGCCCTCGGCCGCCTTGGCGAGAGCTGCCGCCGCCTCGGCCGGCGAGCGGCTCGCCTCGGGAAGGTCGTCCAGCGATGCGGCGGCGGCGGCGCCGAGGAGCCGGTCCGCGAGCTCCGACCCCGAGGCGAGCAGCGCCTCGCGCGGGCCGTGCGCAGTCACCGCGCCGCCCTCGATGAGCAGGAGCGAGTCGAAGGCGTGCAGGTGGCCGCCTTGTGATGCCGACACGAGCGCGGCGCGCGCGACCGGCCCGGCCTCGGGCTCCGCCAGCCAGCCGCGCTTGACGTAGCGGACGATGGCGTCGAGGAGCACGCACGCTGTGCGCGCGTCGACGGCGGAGAGCGGGTCGTCGAGGAGGAGGACGGAGGGGCGGCC